AATTAGTTTTTAATTTATTTGGTTTCGAGGTATGGTACTTCTTCCAGGAATGTATCTGCCTTATAAGCTGAAAACTACCTGTCATTGAGGTAAATCAGGAAGAGCCCTGATGCCAGTACAGATGCCACTACTAAATATAAGAAGGAAATGAACACAGTTTATCATCTACCAACAAAGCCTGTAACATTTTTTATTCTAAGGGTATCGATAATTTATAATACTGCTCTTATCGTTTTAATATCCATTCATTTTCGAACCGCTTTTTCCAATTCAGGGTGGCAGTGGCCTGGAGCATATCCCGGCAAGCAACAGGCGCAGGGCAGGATGCACCCTAGACAGGACACCAGTCCATTGCAGGGTAGTTACAGACACACACACATATTTGCCAGGGCCAATTTTCCCAGAAGCTAATTAACCTGCCAGAAGGCCAGGGGAATTACGGGACACCAGGAGGAAACCTCCATGAACATGGAGAGAACTTACAAAAACTGTACACGGATACTGTAGCACCCCAGGAACTGAACCCAGGGCTCTAGCCCCTCAGAGGCAGCAATAATAACCACTGTGCTGCAGTACTGCCCATGCATATACTGTATGTTATATACTATAAATGTATCATTTTAATGTGATTGTTCTATTGTTCTTCCCTTCTAACCTTGATGTATACTTAAATATAATATGTAATTATTATTATTATTATTATTATTATTATTATTGTTTTATTATATTTTATGTTTTCATATTCTTCATATTTCAAATATTTCATATTTCATATTATATGTTTTCCATATATTGCACCAGGCTGCCTCTAAAGACTCCAAAGACAGGAGTGAGATTGGACCTTTAGACAGTGAGAGAGCTCACTTGCATCAGAAGTAGGTGACCAGGGTTTGATTCCCACTCACACTTGCCTTTTGTCCCTGAGGGTTAGGGTATGTACAGGCACTTTAGATCATCTGCAGTCTTTGCAGCTATTTCTAATGTTAGCGATTAAGAATAGGACTGCAGTACTATTTGGACCATCTGGAGATAAGCTAAATCAGCTAATCTAATCTTTTATCTCTTATGATGAATCACCTGCAGTGCACCACTGTCTTATCCTATGAACATTACAGTTATTGCCGTCTTGGTCAGGGTTATAACAACAGCTCCACAAATGTCTGCCTAACGAACAGGGTAAAACTTTAACCAGACTAATTTAGAGTGCTGTTGTCATTTGATTCAGTTAGAAAACGCAACCTTGAAAACTGAATTAGTAAAAAGTAAGAATTCAAGAAAATAGTTAACCTAACCAGGTCATCATTTGCTACACTGAGTTTTGCATAGGTTACAGTTTGCAGACCTGTATATGCAGGATGGCGTTAGTTGAAATTGCACAGAACTTGCTAAACCTTGAGTGTTAAAGAACATGGTTGTTCACCTAATATTTTCCTTGCTTTTGCGAAAAGCCTTGTATATCTCGTGTATCACTGTATCCCTCAGTACTTTCTGCTGGAACACCAATTATCTGGGGACAAAAGGTAATATTGCCAGCTTTCCTTCCTCATGTTTTGAAAAAACATTCTGTAAAGTACAGGTCTTATAATTTCTGTGCTTGTGTACAACATAATAGACCACTGAGGTAGTCCCTCTTATATGTTAACACTGTAATTTACATCCCAATCAAAGCACAGACTGAAACAGAACTGATTGCCTTGGAAACCAATCAAGCTGTGCTTGTCACATTCCATTCTATCACCAGTCATGCCCAGCTACAGTATGTCACCTCGACAAATTGCGTTTTTCTTTTTGTGTGTGTAAATGGTGGCATGTAATATACTCTCATAGAATGTAATGTCAAAAGTTTATGATTAGGACAAAAAATGGAAGCTGTATTTGTAAACAGTTGACAAAAAATACATACAGTACAATGCAAAACATGATGTGGCTATAGCTTAAAAGCATGTGAAAACATAAAAAGCAGCATTTGAATCATATCTTTTTTTATTTGAGATAAAAAACATGCATAGGTGCCCTGATGAAGGTATGATTTTTTATCCTCTTGACTAATTTTGAGAAATGCATTTTATGGAGTCCTGACTTTTTCAGTTTTTTAACAGAAAATTGAGACTAAAAACTAGGATGAGTTGGATTTTACTGTGACACCTGGCAGTCGTAGATGATGAGTTGAAAGCAAACGAATGTGCCTTTGTATGCTGTGTACTGTATGTGTTTCTTTTAGCAAGGAATAACTTGGGTGAATTAATGAGCATTAGTGGTCAAATGTGCTGGATTTAACAACAAAATGTCACAGGTCTGCCTGAGTGCAACATTCTTTAAAGCACTCATTGATCTCATACAGTTTATTCGTCTTCTGTGCTGTGTGACTCCTTATTCCTTGATGTTTTTGCATTAAGAAAAACTCCCCTTTCTGCTGGATTTCTCTTCCTGTCCTTCTACTTTTCACTTTAATGTTTGTAAAGCTCTGTAAATGACACCTATAAGCAACTTGAGATGCAAAAATGTAGTACTGTTTAAACATGCAAAACATTTAGCTATTTGTATGATTAATACTTTATGAACAAATCTAAGAATTAATAAATAAATTCAATAATTTAAGAATAAATGTAATAAATCACGTTCCTTCTGAGGATGAATTAGCGTATTCTCCCTGTGGATCTAATTAAATATATGCTTAAACCATTAAATATTAAAAAGCACAACTTTGTATATAAGTTTGTTGGTATAAGTATAAAGGACAACCATAATGATGTCACTAGGGATCTGCATTTCTTGGTTACATTTTTATGGCCTCTGAATATTGTAAACAACATTAAAAACTTCTTCCGGATTCTTCAAACGAACCCTCATTTTTCTTCTTCATGGGATACAAAGATTATTAATTCTTCAAATGCAGTGGTCTCTGTCAATGTGATCATAAGATACATTGAGGCACATTGGGATAAAAGCAAAGAAGAAAAAAGGGTACTAGTATGCATTGAGAGGATAAAAGATCTGTCTTTTGAACCTTGTACAGAGAAAGCTTTGTGGAGCTGTGATATACCTGTTAAGAATTCTGAAAGAAACTGACAACTTTTACCTCAACACCATCTCAGTCATAGATAATTTAGGACAGAATAAGGACTAATAGGGACTATTAGTTAGGACTGTTAGTTTCTGAAACTATAGGCAGAAGTCTCAAAATACAGATTAAAAACTCCTCCAGTTGTTTTAAAGGTGTTTTAGGTATTTGCTAAATTAATTTAACATTTTTAATTTCGTTGTGCATCTTTTGAAACCATCTTTTGCCAGCAGCCATATCACCCTGCAACTCACAACTGGCAACCCACTGAAGCTCAGCAGGTGTGAGCCTGGTCAGTACCTGGATGGGAGACCTCCTGGGAAAAACTAAGGTTGTGGCTGGAAGAGGTGTTAGTGGGGCCAGCAGGGGGCGCTCACCCTGAGGTCCGTGTGGGTCCTAATGCCCCAGTATAGTGACGGGGACACTATACTGTGAACAGGCGTCGTCCTTCGGCTGAGACATAAAACCGAGGTCCTGACTCTCTGTGGTTATTAAAAATCCCAGGGCATTTCTCGAAAAGAGTAGGGGTGTAACCCCGGCGTCCTGGTCAAATTTCCCATTGACCCTTACCAATCATGGTCTCCTTATATCCCCATCTATGAATTGGCTACATTACTCTGCTCTCCTCCCCACTGATAGCTGATGTTTGGTGAGCATTGTGGCGCACTATGGCTGCCATGGATGATGCACATAGGAGGTGGTGGAGGGGAGTCCCCATTACCTGTAAAGCACTTTGAGTGGAGTGTCCAGAAAAGCGCTATATAAGTGTAAGCAATTATTATTATTATTAAATCATGAATCAGTTAGATATTTTTGTACTGAAGCATTCAACCAAAACAAGTCTTCTCTTCAGATCAATGTGTAATCCCAGAACTCACTAGAACAAACAAAAGAAGCATAAAGTAATAAACACAGGAGTGGAATGAAGTTGGAATGAAACATGTAGACGCACTAGCCCCCCAGAGCTACAAATGGATGCCTCTGCTTTAGAATTTTGTATCTAATAGTTTAAAAATGAGAATTTAGATATGATGTTTGTGTTCTGAAGTTTAAAGACTTTTTATGCTTTACCAATTGAATATTCGTAAACAAAAAACATTTGGTGTTTGGAATAAAAAGCCTATTCACCTTCTGCAAAATCATTAATCTAAACTCCTGCATAAAGTAGTATTTTAAGGCCTATAAACTCAATAGCATACTGGAAACCCAATGAGCTAAAAGTATTGAATGACAACTTCTCATTTGTAGTCCTGAAAAGTTTGATATTTTGTATTCTCAAGGGATTTCAATGCATGCAAAAGGAAAGTGTATTCTGCCTGAAAGCTTAATGGAAGCATATAGTCCTAATGTACTTGTACAGTATCTATCTGTTTGAAGTAAAGCCTTTACAGGTTAGGCTGGAAGTTAAACGTGACAATCACAATGCCAGAAGGGAGAGAACTGTCATACTTATTCTACCTTTTCACAGACATAAAATCCAAGTTAGCTGCCACAGCCAGCTATTTTAACCTTATAGGTTAATCAGTATGACATGTATGGGTGGGAGACATATGTAGTTCCCACTCCATAGTGGAAGGGTGTTCTTTTAAAACACATACTGTATACAGTATCTGAGTAAAACTTCAACTTGAAAACCAACAATATTGGACCAATAAAATGTGCTAAATGTGCAACTGGCAAAACAAGACAAGAAGATTCAACAAAAAAAATGAGTCGTGCTGTTTCAAAAAAGATCAGAGCATAAGAAACTACAGAAAGCTGTATATTTTGTGACAGAGGGTTATCAAAGTTAGTGTTTGACAAGTAAGGCATTTTATTACCAAATTCATTCCTGCTTGTCTGTTTTGTTTTTTGAGGATGCTGAATTCATCAAAAATTAGCCTCAGTAAATTCACAGAGCACACTATAATGACTCAACTTTTCCCTGTTTCGTTGATAGGTGTTCTACTGATCCTGACACTGACAGAAGAGCAGATATCTGCTGACCAGGAACTGTTTCCCAGTCGGACAGCTCAGGACACCAAGGTCTCTATGGGAACACCGAACAGACCAGGAGCTGGTTTCCCTAGGGTACAAGGCAGCTCACCTTGGCAACAAAATGCCAGTGGAGAAGGACATGTTCAGGGATACTCCGACACCAAACTGAGAGAGACTGAACAAATCCATCCCACATCGACTCTCAGCAAAACAGCTCCAAGTCTGGATAAAACATCTGATGAAATAAACGTGTCAGGGACCCCAGCGAGTGCATTTTATACTTATCCCAGCACAAGAGGAAAAACCGTGAAGGCTTCTAACACTATTGCTTTAAATACAGACACAATGCAAACTCAGTTTACTGAGAAGTTGAAAGTGGAGGGCCCTACAAGTTCCAGCCAGCCTTACTTTCCTACAGAACTTCAACCCTCCACGTCAACAATAACCCTAAGAGATCCTTCTTTGACTACTCCAGAACTGTCCAACCACCATGCCATTACTCTGCGGGAACTGAGTGAATACAGCAGTGTTAATGTTTCCAATGACACTTTTGGCCTTACAGTCACAGGGCAGGAGAAAAGCGCAAGACAGGGAATGACAGAGATGCCTCCTGCTATCTCTCCGACCACCCCCTGGTTTGCCTCTGACCCGACAGCCTCCTCTTCTAATCACAGCTTATCACCAGAGAGGAAGGAAGCTTCAAATTTGAAGATTCCTGATGGGAATAAAAATGCAGCTTCACACTTACTTAAGACCACCCAGGGGGAAAATATCAACATTTCTTTAACTACACAGGAAAGTTTTGCAAAAATAAATTCAACATTTAATGGCACAGTGACGAGCACCATGTCCATCGGTGTTGTGTCATGGAATTTGTCCTATGCCTCCACCACAGAGCTGGCTTCAACAGCAACAGGAAACTTCCTGAACAGACATGTACCCAAAGGTCTGAGGCCTACTACCAACAACTCCCATGTTACTGACGTAGAAAAGCCTCATCAAAGAGCCACCATATGTCTCAGTAAAATGGACATTGTGTGGATAATCCTGGCCATCAGTGTTCCAGTGTCATCCTGCTGTAAGTAAGCCTTTTTGATTTGTGTGTGGCATTGGAAACATGCGTTGATTGTGAGCATAAAAACCAAAGAGTTATCAAGTTTCACTTTAAATGAGCATTCTGTTGCTTAACCAGAGACACCTTTTAACATACAGGTAAATGCAGGTAATAGGAAATACGGAGAATTAAAAGTTCCCAAAAGACACACACACTCATAGGGGATGTCTTCTTATTTATTATTTATCAAGCATGCCTGGTAGCCACCTACCTTGTTTGTGCTTATTTTACGAACACTTAGTTTTGTCCTCTGCTCTGGGCTTTTTGAAGCTGAACATTTGTTTTTAAATCCCCTGTTACTGATTTTAAATGTAACCCAGTTTTGAGACTCCTGCAGAGCCAAAAGTGCATTGTATGTACAGTAACTGTTGTTACTTATGATCCCATATATGTCATACATAATTTTGCAGTATAAATAGAAATGTCCAGTCTTCTATTTCATATTAGTCTTCCTGCATGTCCTTTCTACTGTAGCTTTTCACATGTGAAGCCTCACCACACAGCTCCCAGCTTACTTGGGACATCATTTAGATGCACAGATACATTTCTGAAGCACTTCCTTTTGATTTTGTTCCTGCCCATTTAAGGTGTCCCTTTGTCTCTCCCTGCCTTGACAGCTGTTTTACTGACAGTTTGCTGTATGAGGAGGAAGAAGAAAACCTCCAACTCAGAAAACAACTTGAGCTACTGGAACAATGCGATCACCATGGACTACTTCAACAGGCATGCAGTTGAGCTACCAAGAGAGATCCAGTCTTTAGAAACAGCGGAGGTACAATTGTAGTTCTACAATTAGGAATGTTTATAAATGGGAAGAAAAGGATTGCCCTGAAGACCTACTTATCTGATTGATAGATGCTGAATCAAGTACTGTATGTCCATGTGCATATATGTCATTTTTGGGACTGTAGCAACTGTCTCTGTGAGACAGTTATCCTTGTAGGTTTAAATCACTACAAAGAGAGATAGGGCAGGCATTCACACATGGGTTAGAGATGAATCAGATGAGGACTACACAGTGGCGCAGAGGTTAGCATTGCTACATTATGGCTCTGCAGCCTTGGGTTAAATTCTTGACCTGGGGTGTTGTGTGTATGTTCTCCTTGAGTTTGCATGGGTTTCTTTCAGGTGCACCAGCTTCTTGTCACAGTCCTGACTTACTGGAAGGTTAATTGGTTTCTGTAAAATTGGGGCTGGTGTGAGCATGTGTGTTTGTGTCTGTATGTGCACTGCCTGGACTGATGTCTTATCAGTGGTGTATCTTGCCTTGTGACTGTTGATTGCTGGGATAGGCTCTGAATGGATGGATAAGTACTGTAGGTAAAGAAATCAGGAGAAGACGTCTCTTTATGAGAATGGTTTTGCTTAGACTAGTTTTAGGACTTGTCAGTTCTGCCGATGGTATTTCCAAAGGGTCAGTATTCGCCTGTCAACTTAGGGCTTCGAAATACAATTGGATAAGAGGAAGTAGGTTATTTGGAGACATATGAGGGGAGAAGCACAGTTCACTCTTTCAATCAATACGTTTAACTAATCTCCAAGCTCACTCTCCAAGGAGTCTGGTTCACTGGGAAAGGAGGTGGTGTCTCTTAGGTGGACAGAATAACTTAAGATGCAAGTTCAGGTTGACGGAATCCCATTATGATTGACGAAAGGGGAAACCAGATAAGCAACGTGGACTACAGACCATATTAGGGTGGTCTGGTGATAACACAAATTTGGTATGGCTTAGGCCTCAGTCTTAAAATAATCTTGCAGTTACATTCCACATAGGAATTTGAATAATACAAAGGGCCAACTAACAGGTGTCATACACAATGACCTTGTGTAAGATCCTCCTCGTCACAAAACAGGTTTAAGAGGGAGTTGCCACAGGGACATTAAAATATTTTATTTCAAATGAGAGACTTAAGCTTTTAGATACACGGTGATGACACCATTGTTTCTCAAGGTATTATACAAAGAACGTATTAACCTTATTGTTAAACAGTGATTTAGGTTTGGCATGTTGTAATTTCTGGCACTAAGAACGTTACGAACATGCAAAGGAAAGGTGGCTCATCTTGCAAATTGAAGTGGCTGTAGGATTAACAGTTGAGGCTTTATTGATTTTAACACTTGTAAATGTCAAATGAGAATGGCACCACGGCTTCACCTTTACCTTTCACACTAAGATAAGGTACTAAAAAAACATTGTTATGTACTTCATGTACTGTGGTTGGATTGAGTATGGGGATGAGCGAGCTCATTTCTCTGTATGACAGCAATCTAAAAATACTAATTGCAACATTAACTTTCAGACCAACACAAGGTTAAATTTGAAGACTATACTAAACTTGATCAATACTACAATGCACAACTAACAGTATCCATTAGGTCTAGATTTGGTGTCCTAGTAATACATTACCATTTAATATTAGAAAGAATCAATTTATTCTGCACTTTTGGCTACTATCACTGTATGTATGATTGATACAGAAGATAATGAAACGTTTGGAAGCCCCATGTGGTATTGTTTAAATTGTGCATTCATGTCAGGTAGTGCTACGTAAGTTGGCAATTACCTGGGATGTCTAACATCAACTCAAACACCAGAATGCAAATCAGAAAGCAGAACACTGGTAGAAAGACTGCGCTTGGAGCACAGCCTGAAGCACTGTTATTTTGGTGGTGATTCATGATGATGTATGTGTCTATCCTCCTTGTCCTATGAATGCTCAGTTGCATTCAAATCAGACAAAATGCAGGTGAGAATGTGGCTCCTGTCCCACCCTGAAGTCCTTCATATGAGCTTAATGAAAGGGTTTCTTTGCTGTAAAAAGTGATAGGGCACTGGACTCAAGCTGTATTCAATATGTTGCTATGTAGTGAGATTGGAATATACAGTACCATTACACGCAGCAAACCAATTCCTAAAGTTGCTATCCTCCATTATGCCACTACCACCAAAACAATGGTGTAGACACCTGAGCGAGATTCTCATCATTTTTCCTGTATGAACTTGCTCTGTCATTGCTCATGAGACAATGCATCGGATATCACCCACCTTGGCCAGTATTGAGGGATCATTCCTATTGATGCAACCTCTGTAGTCGTGTATCCCAGTAATTTCATGCCAGCCTTGGGTCCTGGACTCTGCTGTTGGTGGATAGGAACTGCTGTTAGTGTCTGTTGGTGTCTTGTTCCTGCCTGCAGGACTCCAGAGAATCTTCTTCTCTCTTTCTCTGAGCTTCAGCATTTTTGCAGTGGTTTCAAAGCTGGTAAACTTTTATGTATATGGCAGCCAACTTTGCACATTTAGATTCACAAAGCACGTATTGCTTCCTTTGCACATTGTGGTATACATCTTGGTATTTCATATTCAAGGGGTGATAAGGAGAAAAAATAAGTGGCCTTTAACATTTTTTTTAAAGTCACAGCCCCTCATATTGAATTTAATAGATAAGATTCAAATAAATAAATATTGAAATGGCATTGACATATGACATTGACTTTTATGTACTTTTAAATTTAGGGCACACATGTGCATGAGAATCACTATGTACTGTATGTGACAAGTCAGCTAAACCAGTTGAAAAGGACATGCAGAATTTGAGATGAAAATAGCAGATCTTTAATTCAATTCAAATACACGCACACAATTATTCCCACATTTCTGTGAACAGTATAAGTGGAATGTTTGTAAAATACGATATTAAATAGGCAATATTAAAATCAGAGGTAATAGAGACATGTAGTCTTACATATATATACAATGACTTTCATTTAGAAATTTATGGAATTTAAGCTTTATTGTAGGCACCATTCTGTTATTGGAAAGATTACAGAATGTACAGCTCATACAACAGTGTGATTAGTGCTTTACTCAGTACATCCTCATTAACAGAGTGTGCAGAAAATCCCTTTGTGGTTTGTAGAATGACAGAAATTCACAAAAAGCCATTTTCCTTAGAAGACTTTAAAGAGCAAAGTTGGAATTCATTACAGTATGTGGTTGTATTGACAAAGAAAATAAGATATACTCTACAAGTGTAAGCATTGTGAGAAAAACAGATTATTTGATATATTGATATCAAATATTTGATATATTGATACTTTGGAGTAGTTTTGAAAATGTGTGTTTATGTTACTGAAGCATTTGAGCAACCCACTGATTAAATGTTTAGAAATATTTTCAACATTATCATTTAAAGGGGAACTGCTGTCTACGTTTCTCAGATGGGTTTCTAAAATTTCATTAACAAAATAGTACTGTAAGTTACCATGTTATCGCAACTTGCATTTGAGTTCCCACGATTTGAGACATGGTGACCCTTCCTGCTCACTAATGATAGTAATGACTAATGTAGTGTGATGTACAAGCAAATAAGTGCAGGTTGTGCAGCAGACATTTCACTGCAGAAATATTATAATCTGATCTGCATGCAGACTTAACAAGGAAGTAGTATTTGCCAGCAAAGCCATCTCAAAATCGAAAGCAATATTTCTATTGGATTAAAAGAGATGTATTCACAAGCCTACTTATTTACAATGTAATAAGGTCATAACATGTCATTATTATGTTATTGTGTACATTTTATTTTGATTGTGGTTTGAAATGCACTGATCAATCACAATTGCCTGCATCCACACTTTACTAGTACACTTGCATTGCCTTAAATGGCCTGTGATATACTAATAAAAATGGTTCCGTCTTTAGTCATTAGATTTTAAGTAGTGTAGTAAAAAATGGTAAAGTAAATCCAATATCACATATAAGTATCTCAATGAAGCAATAATTTGTTGATGGCAACAGCAGTAGATGAGGTGCTTGAGCAACCTTAATAAATAATTCACTAAAAGGTGCTTGTGATCTACCACTATGCCAAAACTTTTGTTTGATGTTATGCTGCTTAGACTTATTTATTTCAAAATATAAAAAATACACAATATCACGATTACATCATTGCATTAAACATTTTACATCAGCGGTTCTCAAACTGTGGTACGCGTACCGGCAGTGGTACGTGGGTTGCCGCCAAGTGGTACGCCAAATGACCCTGGAACTGTGTTGTGTGCGCTGAAAAAATCGGGACGGGTTTTCATATTTTGTATTTTTACACGTGTCGAATACGCAGCCTACGTACTACGATACAGTGCGCGCCAATACTTCAGTGGACACAAGAGATACTCTGTAATTCTATACCACTCTATAGGAATGCGTGCTACGGACGCAAGTGACCAATTGTAATTAAAAAGAGCTACTGTATCTCCAGCAAACAGGGAGAAAGTAGAATGTGCGTGATTTTGGAACAATGCCAACGTTGTAAACACAGGAATGCATAGAAATGCGTGCTACGAACGCTGGTAATCTTGTGAGCACAGGAAAGCGTGAAAAATAACAGAAAAATATTTAAGAACTGTTCTAAGTTAATTTGCGAAAAATACACCGAGCGTCTCTGTGTTTCTCTCCCATGCGCATGAAATAAATACTTAAACACTGAAATAAAAACGGAAACATGGAAAAATGCAAGCTTGCGAATTGCAGGTAAGCCCCAAAGTATTATGTGTGGAGAAAAAGCTGCTGAACAGCTCGACCTGCTGCCCCCCCTCGAAAGACACAGTCATTCATAGAATTATTGAAATGAAGGATTATATCAAAAGTATGCTGACAGCGCGCGTTAAGATGAGCAGATGTTTTTCACTGCAATTAGATGAGTCTGTAGTCGATTTGGCCAATTTGCTCGTTTACGTTAGATACGAGTTTGAGGGTACGTCCCGTGAGGACTTTCTGTTCTGTAAGCCGCTACCAACAGGAACTACAGGAGAGCACGTATTTCAGCTTCTGAATGAATTTATCGAAGAGAATGGCATCGAATGGATAAAATGTGTCTGAGTTTGTACAGACGGTGCTAGAGCAATGACAAGCCGACACAGCGGTGTAGTTGCACGAATTAGAGAGGTTGCTCCAGAAATTAATGTACGCATTACAACATCCACCGCGAGACCTTTGCCGTCAAGAAAATGCCTGACGATTTAAAATCTGTTAAGACTGTTGTGAATTGTATCAAGGCTCGAAAAATTAATTCACATCTGCTCTGCTCGACTAAACAGGCTCACCCCTCTCACTGAAATGGTGCTTTTTTATTTTTATGTGTTGGTTTTTTTCTGTAAAACACTTTGAGAAGCCACATTTTAATATATCAAATAAAAAGGTTTATTATTATAATATTTATTATATATGTATGTGTGAGTGTGTGCACGCGCGCTCATGTTGGTCATTGAGAATTTCTGGGGTTCCTATGAGATGATGACTTGTAGGTGGTACTTGGATGCTTTGGTTGGATTAGGGGTGGTTCTTGGTCCAAAAAGTTTGAGAACCACTGTTTTACATGATAAAAGCAGTGTAAGGGCTGTACTGCTGCAGTTAATTGGCATGTCTTGCTTTTAACTAACCGTTATTTTCTATGCTTTTAATTTTCACTGTAGCACTTACTGTATATGTCTGGCTCTATTTCTGTTTCACATTTTCATTTGCATTCTGTTCTGAAGGAGCTGGAGACTGAGACAGTGACATGCATGGGATGCTGAATGTGAGCAGGTCATTTCTTCTTTGTCCTATGTTTTCTGCTTCTTTCTCATGTTTATCGGATATTTTGGCATTTTGTTTTGCTTTTTGTTTTGTTTGACTTTTGTCTCCTGTTGTTTTAATTCTTGTGTTTATTGTGATTTTTAGAATTTTCACACTTATTGTATACTCATGCTCACACTCATACACTCATACTCACAATTATACCCACACTCACACTTATACACTCATACTCACTTTTACACTCACATTTGCACTCATACTGGAGAAGTGAGAAGTTGAATTAAAAGGGTACTTTAGCGCAGCCCAAAAAGGATACTGGAGGTAACAGCCATACTCTTATAAGTGTATCCCAGTGTCATGGGATCTTCAATGGCAAAGTAGTTAGGACCTCAGTTTAACTTCTCATCCAAAAGGTGATACCTTCCATCATCATACTGGGACACTGGCTTAAAAATCCTGGACCACAGGGAAGAGCACCACATTTTCATTAGGGGGTCTCTAGTCCAAGTACTAACCTGGCCCAACTTTGCTTTACTTCTGTAATATGAGGAATTTATGTTCATCTTAATATGAGGAACTTGGGTAGTAAAATTGTTGTCAAATGGCATTGCTACTACATTTTAACCTATTTTTTTATTTGAGCATATGAACATAAGAAGGCTTTTAAAAGAGAGAAGTCCCTTCAAGTTGAATTTGTTTACATACAGCTCTGCTGCAAAAGGTGCTAAATAAATATAAAATATAACAAAACTAAGTAATTTCCCAGCACAAACTCACCTTTTTTTCCAAAACATTTATATTTGTATGGGAAAGTATGAAGTGAAGTAATTTTCTGTGTGAAGTATACATGTTCTCCAGTATTCATGCGGAATTCTACAGGTGTACCGGTTTCCTTTCACAGTCCAAAGTATGCAGTCTAGGTTCACTGGAATCTGGAATGGAATGAGATCAACAACAAAATTATTGCATCAAGTTTGCTTTTTCAATTGAGTAAAAACAATGTTCAAAAAGAAAAGATTGTATTAGTTTAGAAATGTGTTTTTTTTATTTATATAATAAGAAATATACAATGAAATCTCCAAGTACTGGGTGTACTTCCCTTCTTTGAGAGAATTAATAACTATTACGTTTTGCAAGTCTGAAAAAAGTGCAAAGGATGTTGAAGAAGGATGGCCAACAAATCTCGTAAGATACAATATGCAAGGTTGGGTGTGATCAGTATCGGGTTAGGAGACCACTAAAGAAAACCAGGTTGCTCCTGAAATTGGTGGTGGTGTACCAGTAGCTACCACATTTCTCCCTGGCCATATGCAAACTAAAGCACATGTATGTTGACAGGGGGCACTTCGGGTTTTTCACTTCAGGAATTTAGGTAGCAGGATTATGCTTAGCCATGAGATAATCTTGCACAATCCTGCTACCTAAATTACCCCTTTAATTCAACTTCAACAAAGTCTTTTTTGTTTTATCCACCTAATCTGCTGCATAGCTGGGCTGTTGAAGCAGAATAGCTGCTGTGCTTCACTAGGTGAGTATTTCATTTAAGCAGTGGTTAAGTTTGGTCTCCTCATGTGTGCCAATCACTGTGCAAAAGCCCCAGATTATTTTTATTTTAACATTTTAAGATTTGTAACATGTTCATTCTTAAGGCTACGAAACGGAAAGATTCATATTTCTGTTGTCCCATTTTGTGTTACATTGACATGCAGAGAACAACTCTGCCTAGTTTAAAATCATGAGTCATTAGTTTTTTAGATTTATAGGTGGGTTTACCTGAGGTCCTGACTCTCTGTGGTCATTAAAAATGGGCATTTCTCTATATGAATAAGGGTGTAATCCTGTTGTCCTGGCCAGATTTCTCCACTGGCATTTACCTATCATGACCTCCTTATAATCCCCATCTGTGAATTGACTTCATCACTCTGTTCTCCTCCCCACTGATAGCTGGTGTGTGGTGAGAGTACTGGCGCAGGTGGGGCTACACATTGGTGGTGGTGAAAGGGATCTCCATTATCTGTAAAACAATTTGAATGCCATGTCTAGAAAAGTGCTATATAAACATAGCATTATTATATGGCTACTAGGAATCAGTAGGAATCAATCTGGTTTTGGTGGGATCAGAAGGTGGGATCAGAAGACCCCCAGGCAACAGAAATAAAAACTGAACTTTTCAACCAAGCAAGATGTGGAAACGAGAATTGTCACAATTTAAGAAAAGAATATTAAGGGCCTAAAATCTATTCATCTCTAAAACAATAAGGGCCAAAGTGGTTCAATAAAGCTGTTAAGAAGGAATAATAAGAGGAAGGAGGGCACTTTAAAGAGGGTGCCCAAGTTTTATAGATTGATGAATAAGCTACTCTGCAACTGAAAAAAGATACAGTAGGGAAGGAAAATAATATCGTAATATATATAATATATTATCTTCAATACAGATGTTTACATAGATTCTTCTATACCTCTTGGAGACAATTGGTGGGAAGAAATAAAAAATCATTCAGAATGTATGAATTCATATCACAATTCATATCATGTGAAATTTTAAATACAGGGAAGTTAGGCTTACATTTTGTGATGCACAATTAATACCTTAATTCTGATATGAATTTGATCACTGTACTACCAAAATGATATTTTGAAAGAGGTCAATAGAAAGAGGTCAAAGAAGAGCAACAACAATGATTTCTGGTTTCATATATATTTCATGTCTTGATAAAGTGCTTATTATAATTTGCTTAGCAAATGCCCTTCTCCATGGCATTGTAGAAAATCTACAACAACACATGATTAAATATAAAGACAAAATAATTTGAGTACAGTAAAGAAAGGGGTACAAATTCAAATGAGAAGAAATTGAGAGGAGATTTTCCTCAGATTCCTCAAGGTCATCCCAGGGGACTATTTCACACTCAGTAGGGAAAGAAGGACATGGATAACAGCTGGAAATTACAAGGGACTGAATTTCAGATGGAACAAAAGGGCAACAGTATTCACAACCACAGCTGTGGGTACTTGGAACAGTCTTTCCACCAAGGTGGTTGAGGCCCAGACAGTTCTTTTAAGAAATGGTTTATATGAAAACTTGAGATTCATAACGTTTTAGACTAGGTTACTCAACTACCAAATGAGCAAGATGGGGTGACTGACACCCTCTTGCTTGTAGCCTTTTTTGTGTTCTGTGTCATAAACAGAAGGCAGTGTACACACAGAATGACTTGCTGTTGTCGTGTATTTGCCATGTCTAACTTCAGTTTACTTTTACATTTCAGGAGCAAGATCCCTGTTGTCCTCCAAATGGCGACTACATCGAGAGTGGAATGGTCCTGGTCAACCCATTCTGTCAAGAAACTCTTTTTACAAACAGGGACCCAGTGTCGGAAATATGAATAAAGGCTCACTGACGTGTTTGCTTTCATGTCTTAAAATTGCTTTTTTTTCCTTTGCAAAATAATGAGATACAAAGAGAATATTTCCACCATTTTTATTTTTGCCCTGAGGTTGTCAGCCTTTTTATATACGGTATGTGGTAAAACTTTTAAAGACTGTGCTTTATATTAAAAAAAATAAAACAGAAACTATTTAATTATGAAGTCCAGCAGTGTATTTTTCTTATGTATGTTTTCTACGGCTATGTAATTGTGATAATAGGAGTTTTATCTGTTTTTGTTTTTTTCTCTAATTACAATCTTTGGTTCCTTTTTAGTTTTGTTAAATCGGTGTGGTGAGTTGAGTAAATGTAGAGATTGGATTTTGATGTAGAAATAAAATGATGCAGTGACTTAACCCAAAACACTTAAAAAACACTAAAAGCCTGTTGAACTTGAATTCTACTTGAAAATACTTGAGGGGATCTTTGCCATTCATGCCTGTTGTCTGTTGGCAGGTTGGATGCTTAAGGGTTATGGGAAGTTAGAAACAGTTATTAATTTGAAAATGACATACCTTGTAGGCAGGGTTTCAACGCAGGACCTCAGTATCTTGTAATGGTCTTGAAATAGCCTTTACCAAGGACCATCTGAAGAATACATGAGCACTAGTCTAAATGTTTCAGCCATCGTTTCTCATTTAGGTGTATTCTTTGTCCTGTAAAAGTGTGTGTTTACTTTGCTTGTCTTACTGTTTCAGGTCTCTTTATGTGTTTTGGGTTTTGTGCCATAAAGGACATATTCATATCAGAGACTTTTGGAGAGCTAAATATTAACGCTTGTTTGAATACCTGCATATACATATACTTCTGAAGTAAAATGCCTCCCGAAATGAATCGCCTCCAGTTCAGTTGATTCCTCACAGAATTCAGAAAGAAACCAAAAAAATAAGTTGCATTGAGTGTTACTATTGCACTGAACATGTTTTAGAAGATCAGATTTTGTTACTTGTTGCAAGGATTTCAAGGAAGATTTTTGGAGTTACTGATGCTGTACTTCACACACCTAAACTAAAACAACATGTATGTTATCAGCACATTAGGCTTAAATGTCTTTTAAGCAGACAATGATTTAGCTATTGTGGATATTCCTCACTGTGAGCCCCACTGTGAAGCTGGGTTTTATGAAGTGTGTACGTTAAGCAGTTTATTGAACACTAAAATACTAAATTTTTATGCTTAGCTTTATACTGTATCTTTTCCAAGTACATTTTTATATTCTATTAGCTTTTACTGCAGTTGAAAATATGAGTATTGATATGTCATGCACTGTCCCCTAATTTAAGTGTTGATAAGAAATATATACTAGTTTTTTGTTGTATATCTTTTCTTATCTGTTTCTTTTAAAAAAAGTACTGAGTGGGCTCCCATTTGCTTATGTGGGTGGAGTTTAAACCCCACAGCCAAAACATTCACTTATTAGAGTCTAAGCTAGACTGGTCTTTAGCCAGTAGCAACCAGGATTCCCCATGCTTGACTGGGAATTGGTGAATTGGTTGGCTTAAGATCGCCAGGGTCTTTTTGACTAGCCAGTCTCTTGTGAGCTATTGCTGTTTTCAGTGAGATTGGTATCACATCTCCAGTGAGTACTAGTTTTCCTGGCCACTGGGGGACATTTAGCATGAAAAACAGTGGAAAGTGACATTGTCTAATCTCTCTTCTCCCCATCTCCATCGCTAGCATGAGACTTGTGGTGAGCCAAGTTGATCAACAGTTATCGAGCCCAAAACAATACCTGGCAACTATTATATTGCTAAGGATTGTATAAAATGTTATTATAAGTTATTATATTTGTTTTGAAAGTTATTATATGAATTTTGACTTGCACATACCTTTTTTAACAAAACCATGTATTTTGGTGGCATTTAACTTCAGAAAGGCTAGTAAAACGATGATAAAAATGTCATGCTGTTCTTGTACGAGAATGCATATAAGTATTGATTTTTTTATGCAAAAAGAGGTTAAGGGGGAAAAGGTTGAACTTGTAACCAATAGCAAGACTTTTGTATTGTAGTATATACACTGTACTTTTTACTGCTGAGCAATAAAAAGATGAAAAATTAATTTTGTATTTCATTAAATGTAACTTTGTGATTTCAAAGTTATGAAAAGATATGAACGAACCTTTCTTTATTAAAACAATGAATCACTCCCTTAATGAAAGTGATGCAGTGATTGGTGGTTTTAAGAAGGAAAAAAGCAATTCAATGCTTGAATGTAAATATATTGTGGGGCAATTGCTGGTTTTTCATATTGTGAGATCTTTAATGCAGTGTAATCAGAAAAATCACATTTTCATTTCATCTTATTTCAGAATAATGAGTATTATAGACAAGTAATACTAATCCTTGAATGAAAACATAAAAAAAAATGTTACAGAGATACAGGATTCTGCTGAGTCAGAGCCAAGGAGGAAATGAAGTGGCACTGGGACAAAAGTCAGAGGTACAGTAGGTAGGCACTGACTGGAACAATTGGATAGATTAAAAGTACTATTGTCATCATATTCTTAATTTATACAGTGGATGACTTAACATGCTCGAGACAGAGAGGCAAAATAAGGCTAGCACTCAGATCTCCATTATTTTTGTGCTCTGTTCCTTAACTAATTTCTTTTGATGCTTAATGTTATGCTCACTGACCAGTGTTCACTAAGGGTTTTATTTCACTCCAGCAATTTCACTCCTGCTGTCGTTTTTCCTAGAAGGGATACAATACAAATGAAAGTGAAAATGCAATGAGACACGGTGCACATTGTTCATTTTGCTGATAAATACATGCATATAAGACATTCTTCATTTTTTCATTACTGGCCAGGCAGTTAAATAGCTGGCTGATTCAGAAAGCTACCTGGTAAAAAGGAGGGAAGAAAATAAAGGACTTTTGCTTTTTATTTTTGTCTATGCAAAAATTAAGAATAAAGGACAGCTTTCATTTTGAACTGACTGTTCGGGGATTAGCTAGCCCAGTTTAAATCTCAGCTGAATAAAGCCATTGTATATTTTGTTCACTGCGCTCTGCTTTTATTTATTTCAACCTGATCCTATCGGATGTGACTATTATACAGTAAAGGCTAATGATATTTGATTTGGACTTGCATCTGGAATATAAACCCAGAACAAAATCTCTGTAATGTGGTTGAAACTGACTTCATGGAATCCTGTAAGAAATATATATTTTTAACATTATGAAAGATGTTCTGAGTACAACCAGCACTCAATCAATCGTGTTCCCCTTACTTGGGGAATTGTAATTATAGACAGCTAGAGACATGGCCCAGTCTCGGACCTGGGATTACAGAGTTTAAACTGCACTCAAGTAAGTATCATTCCAGAAGATCCCAGTGCTCAGCGTTTTCTGTGTTGGGCCTCATTAATTGAGGCGTACACTTTTCTAAGGAGTTTCTTGATTGTAAACATATTTTAACAACTCGGATATCTATTAAAGACGTCATTTCTAAAACATCTAAATTGCAAGATGCGTTGTCTTTGTGTTCTGTGTATGCATTGTTTCAGTACCAGTCATTCATGATGGGAAAACATCTCGGAATAAACTGATTCATAGCAAATGTTAGTGTATTTCCTGATCTGTTACGTTGATTTATGTAGTATATGCTGCAATGAAGCAATCTGTTGTGTAGAAAAAATACAGCAAGTACAGTGGCATAACTAATGAGCACAGTTACCAGTCATCTTAGCTGAATGCAATCGATGACAGCCTTTCGTATTACAAGATTATGAATACAATTCTAAAAGACCCTTAGCATTTTTATCAGATACTGATAATGAAAATAAAGCATATGTTGACAACGAAGAAGATGTAATAGAATGTAATCTTGCACTTGGTTATGTCTCACAAAGTGGGTTTATCTTCATGAGTCCTTACTCTCCACTTTAATTTGTCCTGTCATTTGTAGATTCACCTTACCATCATATCTTTTCTGAGTCATGTCCATTGTTCTGCTTCTCCTACAAGTCCTTTCTGCCTTAAACCTCCTGATTCTGCTGGCTTTGTAATCATCTCTCTCATTTTCTCCTTTTGAACTGATAGCCTTGCTCCTTTCTTCCTTGTTTTTCACATGTGTGAAGCACACATCTCCATCACACTCATTTTCTTTCCTCTTTTGGGGCCAGATTTTAGTTTAATAAATCAGTACTAGGCTTATCATCTTTTGTACACCATAGCTTTTAAACCATATGGCATTTTCTTATCACAAACAACTCTTTTTTTCCACTTCACCCATGTCTTATTTAACTCCTTCTCCAAATCACCACCCATCACCCCCAGATGGGAAAAAAAACTCTTTACCCCTGGAATATTGTAGCTATCCAGCACCTGTATATTCATCTGAAACACCACAATCCAGTGTTCTTTGTCTTCACTCTAGTTTCCTGATGGGGTGGGGCTAGCTCTCCACTTTCACACTGTATCACCTAGCTTGAAGTATAACATCACTTGCCACTGCACCAATGAACAGAAAGCCTAAAGCTGACACTCATACTCCAAAGCTAGGGACCACATCTAATTAAAATGTCTTCTCATTTTCAGTAGCATTTGACACCTTCAAGCAGGTTTAAACTTTTGACAAGACAAAAGCTGTTTAAAACAATTGCTTTTATAAAATGCTGAATAGCAATGCTAAACAATCCCAAAACACTACATATAGAAGGGGGCTGACCGTTGAAGCACAGGACCCACCTGGGTGATGCACAGCAGACATTATGCTCCACCAGTAGACAGGGTAGAGAAGTGAGAAATTAAAACACACAATTAGAGGACACAAGTGGAAACACATTTAAAACCTAGTACAGGTGCACGTCTATACCAAAAGAGTTGGCGGACAAACTACTGTACCACTCAAACCTCTGACGTCCTCCAAGAAACGGCTAGATGAGATCCTGTGATCAAGAAGCTACTAACTCCAAAACTGGCTGGATGTCGTGAATGGCATGTGCAACCGGTTATGTTCTTAAATTACTTTACCATGAGAAATCAGGGAGGCATTTAGACTGGACAGTTTACCAACCCCAGAATGGAAATTAGTCACTACTCTTATGGAATTCGTATTGACCAAGTAATAGTGGTGTTTTTGTTTTTGGACATTAGGGTCCAGAAGGAAAAGTGCCTCCTACTGCTCCACCAATATCATGTACAGCAGCAACCAGGTTTTCCTATATGGCAGCCATTTTTCTTCTGGCCAGGCCTGACCTGCACTTCTGAGATCTGAAGGGATGACAAGGCGGTAACACTGTCATCAAGGTGATGTTAGAAGGTGGTATCAATGTTGAAAATCGCTTTTAAGTAACCTGGAATTTTAGCAAGATTTTCTAACTCATCATATCCATATCATGTATGATCATTCCTAGAATATTATTGGTATCTTTTTGTATTTAAATTGCTTTGGTTTGTGTACATTGTCTGTGAGCAGGTAATGAATATATGTTAAGGACTTACACATTGCATTGGTCTAAACATGATGAGAATTGTATAGTTATTTTGGGGTGGAGTGGTAGCTCTGTGGCTAAGGATCTGTGTCTGTGGCTAGAAGGTTGCCGGTTCAAATCTTGCAGCTGGCAGAGGAATCCTACTCTGTTGGGCTCCTGAGCAAGGCCCTTAACCCAAACTGCTCCAGGGGTGCCGTACAATGGCAGATCCTGTGCTCTGACCCCAGGCTCTCTCCCTGTCCATGTGTCTCATGGAGAGAAAGCTGGGGTATGTGAAAAGATCATTCCTAATGCAAGAAATTGTAAAGGGTCAATAAAGTGATGATGTATCTTTTAACACTGCAACCAATAATTTCCATCCACTGATGTATTGAGGCACCAGACAATGAACTTGTCTCGTGCTGTATCTCCCCTTGTAAACTGTGACTATACTGTATATGTGATTAATGAGCATCTTAAACATCACAAGTTAATTTAAATACTTAAGCCCTCCAAGTTCAGAAAGACCAGCACATCTTAATCATCCCCTGAGCCCAAAAGCAAGCAATAACTTTTAAGAAGAAGGAAGCATTTTTATTTGGAGTTTCATAAAAGACCTCTTTTTTCACTTTGACGTTTAATTGTTTATGTAGCATATTTATTTGTTTTAATCAATAACAAATTTTTCCCCACTCTTTTTAAGACCATGTGAAGAAAACAGCAAACAGAAAAGCCGTGAAACTGTCCAATCTCCAATGTGATGATGACACAGTTTTCACACAGCGAGTAGCTCTTTGTTTCCACATAGCATTGTCACTTCATGTGATGGGCTAGAACAGGCCTGGGTGCTGAAGAGCTGACTGATAGACCTTTCCTGACCGAGGCAGGGTGCTGAGGCAGCAGAAAAAAGGCGCCCCTCAACAATGCCGCCCGACTGCAGTGCGTGACAATTGCTGGCTCGCAAAAGTCTGCCATTCTGGAACGACAGGCATCAATAAAGGGGGCGTTCTGCTGAAGCTGCTGGCCTTCACGGTTTTAGGGCAGGAGCAGAGCTGTCAGCACAGCGGAGATGCCCACAGGTGCACTAGCTCTCTGCGCACACTGATCTCGGAATGCCTCTGCCAAGACGTAGGTCTTCGTTCCTGGGCCAGCCTGCTCAGGCGCCCCAGGCTGAGCGCCCCTCAGGGGCCACCCGGAGGGTGAGCGTGGGCTCGAGCGGGGCCGCGTCTACTTCCAGGAATCCTGGGGTGTACGTGGGGGTCGCGCCTATCGGAGGGGCCAGCAGCTTGGGCACCCGGGTTTCCCGCCGAGCCCTGGGGATCAGCAGCGTGTTCCTGCAGGGTCTGCGCAGCACCACCCCTGTCCTGCTGAGCCAGGGTGTGGACAGGGGCCGTGGGCCCTCTCCCGAGAGCCTGAACTGCTGCCTGCTGGAGTACATGGAGAAGGTGCGGGCGCTGGAGCAGGTGAACCGCGAGCTGGAGGAGCAGATAAGGCTCTGTCTAGACAAGAAAGCCTCCATCGCGGGCAGCTGGGGCTCCCTGAGGCAGGAGTGGGAGGACATTTACAGGCAGGTAAGAATGGTTCCCCTCCGAGGATCATCCGTTTCGCAGGGTTTTGTTTCCATGGGAAAGAGATGATAACACACAATTTCTTGTTTGGTCAGAGACTTCCACTTGATGGTCAAACACTGTGATGTGAGCAGTTTGCACATCCTCCACAAAACAGTAATCAAATTGGATGCAACAAAGCAAGGTGTTAATTGGAATAAAATGGTTCAAGAAAAAGAAAAGGGTTCATTCAACTTTCTTTAATATGCTGTGTGCCTTCCTCTTCCTTGCATTGTCGCTTATATTCTGCGGTAGAAAAAAACAAGTCAAGTCTTAGTCTCTCTTAAGCCAAATTTCTACCCATATTGTTTCTTGACACTTCCCTCATCTTCATCTGCTCTTGCTTTGCTTCTGCTTAGATTCCATTGCAATTGAGAAGACATATCATAATGAGATCATCATATCATTTATTTTGTATTCAATGTTATTTTTGTTGTGAGTTCAGTGTTGTTGTCATATCTGAGTGTAAATTCTCAGCACTTTGTCCAATTTGTTTTATGTCTGACTGCATTTGGCAAGAAATCTTGCCATTTCTTGATGAACGGGTGTCAAGAACAGGTGTTCTTGATCAAAGGGAGTCAGTACCTTTCACCATGCCTTAATGTATACTTGATGGGTGCACTTAACTTTTAAAATTTATACTTAGTAGGTCTAATTGATGTTTAAAGTAACCCATTTTGTCAATATTCAAATCTGATACTGCTTTGTACAATCTAATACATGTTTAGAGAAAACAGTATCACTGTGTATTATTTTGTGCATTAGCTTCACAACAGTAAGTTTTCTGTGGAGAGAAAAATACAAAATCAGAATATAATTGCAGGTCTTAGAAATTGAATGTACTTGAAAAAGGAAGCATTTTATTCTTTTTATTGCTAAGATAATCTAGTGTTTTGCTGCATTAACCTACTGTGTCACTCTATGTTATAAAAAAATGACTTGTTATTTATTTCTCAAAACTATTGTTATAGTGATTATAGTACATTACTAAAATCAATTAATAATAAAATTGTAATAATTATTAAAATAATTTTAATTAAAATAGTAATAGTAATTGTTGTTTGAGGAAGTTTCTATTTTTATAAAGCTAAAACAAAGAGTTTTACTGTAATGCTGTATGTTCTTATGTTTATGTAAAGAAGATACAGTATCAAGCATGACTAATCCCAATTTAATTATTTATCTTATTAAATGTATTTGCTTCGAATATGTTATCTAATTTGTTAAATAACTAGAATGTTTTTTCCTAAATTACTATTTATAATAATGAGTTTATGGTGAGTAAACATCAGTTTTTATTTAAGATTTAAGAAGATGCTTTATCTGTGTACAGTGGTCCAAATTATGGGGATAATGCTTACAGCCATTTTTGTTAAATTGTACCTAATCAAGGCTCCGTGCTACCCAATTCTCCTTAAACAAGATTGGTCCAGTAAGTTCTACTACCCACAATACACATCAGTATCAAATTTTTATATTGACAAAATGGTTAACTTTTCACTTCAATTAGAACTACTTAGTACAAGTAATTGTGTAATCTATCTCACAGACCAATTGTGGTTCTAGCCTTAAGCGTAATCTGAAGATATTCTTGCGTGGTGTTGAACATAATATGAGAGAATGACTGCTTTTCTTAAGTTTACTGTATATGCATACAGTTCTTTTCAGTACTTTGTCATGTACCATAATATGATAATGGAGAACTTGGAGGATATTGGTGTATTCAACAGTTTTTCAAAACTATACATTAAAATCTAGCCACATGCTAACCATGCATTGTGCATGGTTACTGGCTTCTTCTCAAGACTTGCAAACATTCCTTTCTTGTCGTGAAAATTACTTTGCTGTAACAGACACTTAGATGACTGCCTTCATCAATAACATGCGCATATCATTACTGAGACTGTACCCGCTATTGTTAGTAGAAAAGAAAATTCCAACAGTTTCATTGGTTAGCAGCCCTGAGTAAGAATTGTCTGGTTACCTAACTGTCTAACATTCTTCATCTGAATCCCTGTATTAGCCACTAGCAAAATGTGAATGCAACAGAATTTACAAGAAATTCAAAGAATTGAAAGGTTCTTGTAATTCCATGAAAAAAACTGTTGGGAAAAGTCTAAGAATTGTATAATCCCATTTCATGTAAAAAGCAGAGGTAAAAAATAACAACTATAGAATAAAATGTTTGTGGATATTGTAAGATATTACATTTTCAGTGGCACTGCCACAATTTTCAGTAGTTTTTGATTATGGTGGTTATTTCAGTTACACTTGTAACTCAATGAAACTTCTGATGATACACTTTTTTTAGTTTTCAACACTGTAGAGATAATACAGTATTAATTTCACTAGCAATGGATAAGGAGTAGATGTTGTAAATAAAAAAGTAATAAAACTGTGGTTCCATCTGAATAACAATGATGTGAGTATACTGTATTTTTATGAGGTATGAGATATTATGTTTTATAGTTATACATAACTATTATAGTTTTATAGTTATATAGCCGTCTATTATGTTGCTATTTTTGCCTTTATTTAATGTGGTTTTGGGTGGTGTAAATATAAAAAGCACAATATAAAATTCCATTTCCAATAAATTTATTGAAAGTCCATTCAATTGGCTGTTACTGCTTCTCAGAATAAGCTAAGTGGTAATATAAAAGTGTGCACTTATAATTTTGCCTATCAGACTCTGAAGTCACACTGCACAGATGGCTGTTTGCAAAACCTGAAGGGTTGCTATCCTAATCTCCCTAATTCCCTTATATCTTAGGGCTGTAGGTTCTTAGAAAACCTGTTTAGATACAATTTAGATTAACAAGTACGGCTTACTCTGCTTATTTACAACAGGTAAGTGATGCCATCTTGGACAATGCTCGGCTCATGCTCCAGACAGAGAATCTTCAAGCAAATGCAGAGGATTTTAAAGACAGGTCAGAATCTACATCAGCTGTCGAGAAACACCATTTTGTTGTCCAATAACAAAATGGATTCCTCACAAAATAAAATTGTCTCCCGCAATTATAGTACATCTGTAATTGCAGTCATTTTAAGATGTAAAATGATGTTGATTTGGTCATATACTTAAGTGTAATAGGTTCCATGACAGTACTGTTACCAGAGCTCAAAAGTGTAGAATTAAGTATTCTTTGATAAAACAAATTTATATTTTTAAAGGTAAATATGATATTCCATTGATTATAACTAGGTGTTTTGCATGAATGTTTTTCTCGCTCATCGAAATTAATAAATATTATTTTGGTCCCCAATGGAAGTGGCAGGTTGAAGTAGGACATTCAGAATCCTGGTGTCATATGTACTTCATTTTCACAGGAGTACATACTGAGGCTGTTTTCAATTAAGTGACCTCGTCAAAATACTCTTCCACCAAAGGCATGCAAAAGAGGAAAAAATTGGGGAAATCGTTTTTATGAACCTGATGAGAAACTCCAATCACAAGTATCGGTTTCAACAGCTGTCAGTGTTGATTTAGTAGAGTGGTAACATCTCATGGTTTGCTTCTTTGCAGATATGAAAATGAGCAGCCATTCCGCAGAGCAGTGGAAGATGAAATTAATTCCTTGTATAAAGTGATTGATGACGCTAATTTGACTAAAATGGACCTGGAAAGTCAGCTAGAGAACATGAGAGAAGAACTGATTGAACTGGCAAGGAACCATGAAGAGGTGAGTGTGGATGAAGAATGCAAAATCTGACCTCGTACAGAAAGCTTCTCAATTAAAATTGTTGTGTGCATATTTACAACAAACTAAAAGGTAGTTGGGGCAACATGCTTAGGAATGAATGTTAGATTACATTCTGAATGAGACACCAGTCAATCGATGGGCACACAGTTGCATGCAAGCTATATCTTCAGGAGGTTAAAGGAACTAGAACACATGTGCCCAGAAGAGCATATAAACTCCACATAGGATGGTCCCCAATTTAAAATCGAACTCAGGAACCAAGAGCTGTTGAGCAGCAGCAATAACTGTCAGACCACCAAGACTCCATTGTGAGACAAAGGACACAATTTGAACAACTTAATTATATCGTGAGAAGTATTTAAATGAAATTTTAAAACAAAATAATTCTATTCACTACTAACATGCAGTTTCCCAAAATGAAAAACCCATTTGGAAATCACTTCAAAATGTGAAGAGAATAGAGCAGCATAAATGCAAGAGTGTTGCAGGTGCATTTTTATTATTATTGATTTCCTTAGCAGATGCCCTTGTCCACGGAGACTTATAGTTGCATACTATCTTAAACAAACAGATAACATTACAAAACAGGGAATGGAAACAAATATACAGTATAACAGCATTAATATAGCACCAGGCAGGAACAGATAAGTGCAGGTGCTTAATAGTGGGGATATCTGCACTGGGGATATATGTACTGTAAATCTGAAATATTTTGCACTCATCTCTAGATGTACTTACAAAAAATGAAAACGTATGCTTTAGAAAGAGAGGAGTTAGAGAAGTAGGGAAAAGGGAATTTAAAATTAAGACATTATAATGCAAAATACAATGTTTTAGATCATTTACAGTCTTAATTTAGACATACCTGTAATGTACTGTAGGTTATGTACAAGGAGGTTTGAATACTCTTGCATACCTGTAATGTAGGTTATGTACAAGGAGGTTTGAATTCTCTTGCTGCTGATTGATTTAGCTTGGGAGCAGTTGGCAATGTGAGCAGACATGGTACACAGACAGTAACAGTCTTTAGTTGAGCAGATTTAAAAAGGGGATGTAAATTCTAAAACCTCTGTCTGCTGCACTTCACAAATAATTCTGTACAAAATAACATTTTAATATTTAGATTATTTTAAAATCTAGCTCCTCTACATTTAGAAAACCAGTCACCTGAATTCCTGATTCAGGCTGATAGAACTCACTATTTCAGATCTTTTTACCTCAATTAATTCTTAAAGCTGCCTGAGAAAACAAGAGATTATTAATTATTTTAAACAAGATAATGACTATTCCTGAATTTGTAAGTAGCACCTAGAGCTTGGTTACCTGAGAAGCACAAGAAAATGTTTGCATTTAAAGAAAGGAAGATGATCATAATGTAATCATTAGGAATGCTTTACTTTCAGAACCATTAAAATAGTTTAACAGATATTTGTTTAATACTGATTATAGAGTGATAAACCAAAAGAGAAAAGTTGTGTCTATGAGATGTTTCATTTTGTTTGACCAGTGAAATGCAGAAGTACATGCCACCATGTTAAACAGTGTTAAATAGTTACCCTCTTGTCTTATTGATGTTCTGCAAGATGTTAACTTATTATAGCCAAGATCTACCTCTGTCCATTCTTCATTCACAAAATATCCACTGTGCTTTAGGATATGTCTTTTCTCCTAGGATGTGAAAGTGCTTTATAATGAGCTTGCTGGCAGCCAGTTGGATGAACCAGATGCTCCCATTGAGACAAGCCTGGATCACATACTGGAGTACATTCGATCCCACTGGGAGAAAGTTATTGAAAGGAATCGAGCAGAAACCGATGCCTACCTGGAATCTAAGGTAAGTTGTCGGGAAAAGTAATTTTCATGTGACGATTCTATCTGGTGACATTTCAGGAGAGGCCCGCAAGACACTGCTATGAAGAGGAGAATGGAAACAAAATCTCAACAAGCTGCTTCAGGTGCAGCAAGTTGTGTATGTTTCCACAAGAGTTACCCCAACCTTGGGCAAAATGAAAGAAACCTTGAGTTAGAAAACACTCATGTCAGTTTTTACTCATGTCAACTGCATTAGGCAACACAGAAGGAACCACATTTTCTCGCCTTCTGAAACTCTTTATCCATGAATTCTGGTTTTCTACTGCTAAAACAGGCTGTGCATGTGAATACGGAACTATCCAGCACAAGAACTGTCACTGAACCCTTTGGAATACATAACAAGTAAGGTACTCTGTGTGTTGGGTTGTGGTATATAAACTAGTTCCCTGGCTGGTCACAACTAATGACCTGGCTGGTCACAACTAATGACAACTATGAAGGTATTTTAAACTTATTAACCAACATCTTACGATGGTTAAAGTGTAAGTCCTGGTTCTTGCAACTTTGATTGCACTGCTATGATGCTTCCTTTCACTAAACTCTGGGTGATTTAAGTTACTTACAAATTATATTTTAAAAATTACAGGCACACTAAAATGCCAAATATTTTAGAATTGATTAGCCACATAAAACTTTTAAGGCTCTAATTAAGCAAATTATCAGTTCAATTAAAAGCTACAATTAATCAAATTAATGATGCACAAAAGGAGGTGAGAATTATTTTGTGTCAAACACTCATTGTGTTAATAAATCTTGTTAATTCTGAATAGGCTCCACTGCTTAGATTCCCTCACTTTGTCTGGAAAAACAAACCTAGCACCTCCATTGTCTGAGAGCTGAAAAAAAGTTTCATACATTTTGAAGAAAACAACATGATAATTACACCATAATTAGTGATGCTTTACTTTCTGCCTGAAACTGCCATAATTCCCCTGCTGCTTAGGTGGAACGAAAAGCAAAAGAAAAGAGCAGGAGTGCTTACAAACCCTTTTATAAAAAATGCTTCAGATAGAACATAAAAACGGGGGCTTAAGTATTCTGTGGACTGAATACTATGGCTTAATTTTCACAGCAATACAATTACATCTCTTTTTTAATACTTGTTTGGTCACACTTGTGAGCATTCAGGGTTTACTCTTTTGTTTCCTTTAGCAGCCCCACAATCTCAACCCTTTCCATCCATCCATTTTCTAACCTCTTCTCCTAAATCCGAGTCGTGGGCGAGCTGGAGCCCAGCTCCGCAAGCAATGGGTGCAAGGCAGGATACACCTTAGATAGGAAGCCAGTCTGATCTTTTTGCACCTCTGTTGTTGATATGGCCATCTTTTTAAAAAAATCAAGTGTGAGTCTTTGTCTTTATAAGCACTGTCTGTACACGTTTACGATAAGAATGGAATTGTGTCTAAGCAAGTTCCCTGTTTTGTATAATGTGGTGAAGGAGGACATATTTTAGTGTTTAACTACATATTTAATGAAAGCTATTGTGAAAGCTCACATCCCAACAAACTCCTTTTTCATGACCAGATGAAAGACATGGAAATTCTAGATGTTTATCTTCTTCACTTGATAGCTCCACATATGAACAGAGTTTGTAACGAACGTTTGTGAGTTATGACAACAACTAAGTTCAATCAGACTCAGCTAGCAGTAATTCGCAATGTCAGTGATTCACCCCTGATCTCATTTTCTCTCCTAAAACACTATAAAGGCTAGATGTGATCCCCTTCCCTGTCTCCTATACATCTTTTTGCATCCCACCTCAGCATGGAGGTCCTGGCCTCCTCGTCCTCTGGCCAGGAGGTTAGCCCTCAACCAAGCAGGTTAAGCCAACAGTTTGACTAAGAACTCCACAATCCTTTCAGTACACTTAATTCTTGGATGTTGTTATTCCTAGTGAAGTGTAAAAAATGAATTGAATTAAACAAAGTTGTTTCTTTCCAGCATTACTTTTGATTTTTCTATCTCAAAACTCAAACCCTGTTCACAGTACTACGGGGACAATAGTCGCTATGAGCTCAAAACTGGTTAACGAAACCCTTTTCACTGACATATTTTTGACAGAATTAAGAAGGTGAGTAGATTTCCTCTTGACAGATTTTCTTATTGGCTGTGTTGTGTTCTGTGTTTGAGCAGCAGTCTGAGAGCACAAACACCAAACTGAGCAAAGAAGAGGAGAAAGTGGAGTCCCTGAAGATGGAGTGCAGCGATTTGGGGTGTAAAATACAAAGCCTCCAGGCAGAGACAGAATCCATGAGAGCCCTGGTATTTTATCTCCTTTATCTCACTGCGTGTGTCTACCTTGCGGTTGTAACTGGAAAAGCAGTTTCCCAAATTAGTGGCTCTTACATTGTAGAACAGAACTCACTCCATCAGAGCTGAACAGCTCCAGAGGCACAATGGAGCACATTTACTTGGTGTGCGTAAGTTCAGAAAGTATCCAACAACCCTCTATGTAGTGCTGTAGCTACAAAACACCCAAAGCACAATATTATTAGGTAGTATACATTTATTAGGATCAACACCCAGGATTAAGAGCGTTTTCATAGAAAAAAAATAAAGGCAGTAGTTGTTTGGAGATTGTTAAAAGTGTTTTATAGTAGGTTAGTTGTTCTTACCAGCAGTGGAGGTAAACCAGATTCGTAACAGATAACCCCTGCCTGCTGCTGTGTGTATAGGATTATCATAGCTTTGTTGTTCAATTACTTGTCAAGATCATAAATTTGATTTGCAAGTTTTAATTTAATTTAAGTTTAAGTTTAATTTAATTTAAGTTTACAGGGCCATCTGTAATCCAAGGATAATACATTACCAATTTGGTAATCGAGACTATATGACAAATAGTTGCTATTATATTAAGGCGGCTTTATGATGTTAGAAACGGGGTTCTCATTTTAAATCACATGCCAATTGAGAATCAGTTTTTACATATCAAGACATTTTTCATCCTTCCAAAGGTCGATGTTGGAAATGGAGTTGAAACTGGTTGACGCCAGCAACGAATCAAAGTCTGTTGGGGAAAAAAAATACAGTCCAGACAGCATTTGAAAATTCTACTCATCCGAAAGCTGCCAATGTAATTCTATTTGTTTCAGTGCTCTGTAGTTTTTTTTGTGTGAATTTGATTCCTTCATAGCGAACTCATAATCATCTTCTGTTTACAGAAGAGGGGTTTAGAGAATTCCTTACATGATGCGAAACACTGGCATGACATTGAACTGCAGAACCTGGGCTCTGTGATCTCCAAGCTGGAGGCTGAACTGGGGGATGTTGGAGCAGACATTGAGCAGCAAAAGAAGGACTATGATACCTTGTTAAATAACAAAATGAGACTAGAACTGGAGATTGGTACATACCACGGCATTCTAGATGGAGAGGAAAGCAGGTATCAACCTGATAAGTGAGTATTTGTGTATTCAGTAAAATGGTACAATTTCATTAAATTGTTTTTTTAGTAATAACCATATGTCATTTTGATTTTAAATAGGCTTCAGTATATAGGTATTATAAAAAGAAAAACAAATCTGTCCATCCATCCATTTTCTAACCACCTTAACCACCACAGGGTCAAGAAGGAGCTGGAGCCTATGGAAAAAACAAGTTAAAGGTTCAACATTTTGAGAGAAAGAAAGGAAATAAAAAGCAAACACCTCATTTCAAACTATCCAGTAACTTCATTAGAAATCCAAACTGTATTATGGGATAATAATATTGATGGCACAGTCCTTGGATGCTGACAAGTGTCACCACTCAGCAAGTACAATATTTGCTGGCTAAGCAGTTACTGGGATACAGTAATAAATGGAAAATACACAATTCACACATTTACAGTACCTGAAAATACAAGCTTCTACCTTAATTCATTGTAATTCAAGAATATAAAATAATTTTAAAACACAGCTAAAACACATCCCAAATACAAACACATACATATACAGGTTATAGGGTATCATATATATACTTTATAAATAATTAAACATATATCAAACTATTCCAATATCTATATATACTGTTTAAGTAAAAAACATTTATTTGTATCATTATTTAAACCTTCTGTCCTAAATTCTTTTAATAGACTCATATTGACTTCCATGACCAAGCTTAAAATAACTTCTGGAATTTAATTTTAATATTTCAAAAACTTCAGTCTCTCCTCATCTATTTCCTTCTCAGGCTTAACAGGTCTAGTTCTTTCAGGTTGTCATTGTAACTTGGGATTGTTATTGGAGGAATACATCTGTTTTAGTTTCTCTGAACTGTCAAAGTCTATAGCTCTGTGGTCAAAGTCATCATCTGATTCATGTGGAATAGAGTAGGCAGTTTACCCAAGGTTTGCCAATTGGGGAAATAAGGGTCTGTGTCCTTCTCTGACTTTATATCATTAAATGTCTTGCTTGTAGGTGGTCAGGCATTGGGAGTGCATCAGAACAGGGAGACAAGCCTGTTATCCATTCATCTGATGGGTGTGACCCTGAACCTTCAGCAAGTGAGTTTGTTTTCTATTTCCTCTTACAAAAACACTTAAGAATAGCATAATCTATCAAAATAATTTCATCCTCCAAGTTCACAAGTTAAGGCTTCAACAACATACTTGGGTATTCTGGGTAACATACTGGGCAAATCAGTATAAATACTCTAACTGTTCTAAATTGGAGGTAGTAAAGGGGTACAATTGCTATTTAAAGTATAATTGATGACTCCCAATGTATTAAAAATGTTTCAAGCAAAGTTATTGCTATAAGATGACTCCCTCACTTTGTATAGTTAACTTTTCTTTACTTGAGCTGAAAAGCACAATCATACAACTTTGTCCCCTTTCAATGGTAGTAGTAGGTTACATGGGAGGAAAAACACAATATTGCTTCAGCCTGTACATGTAACTAAGTTTTATATATTTTTCTCTAGCAGGTTTTCCACAGGATGACGTAGAGAAGGACAAATGAGATGATAAAGTAATCGTTATCTGCAAGAAGGAACTGATTATAAATAAATCTCTTCTGGTGGAGGGGATTTAGACTTTCTTTTCATTTGACAAGAGTAGTAAGAATGTGGTTTTAAAGATCTCAGTGTGGCTTCATTTGAATACTGTGGACTTGAGTGAAAACCTAATAAAATCTAGACTTCAAGCCAAAATGATTTTCTGTTGGTCTGTTTATTGAATGGGTATGCAAGTTAATGAAAGTGCTCTGCTCATGAAACTGGAGTAGGGTGGCCAAATAAAGCAATTTAGAAGAAAATAGTGTAATGCTTGGAAGGTAAAGAAATCCCTCTTTACATGAAAAACAGAAAACTCTCCAACATCTGATGAAGGTCCACCCTGATGGGGGTGCACCAGGTTCTGGCTGAAGTGTTGGAGGATTTGCATTGATTTTAAATTAAAATATTTATTTTTATTTGGAGCACTCAGTTTTTGTTATGTTGAATGGCAAGCTGTATTGAAGCTATTTTATTAGGCTTTTTACCACTAAGTTAAAATCTGTTAAATTACTCTTTAAAACGAACACAAGACATATTCAGGGACATTTCGTGGTATTCCACCTACAGTGTAAACTAGATGTCATTGATATTGCTGAATTTAATTCTAACCAGTGCTGCAGTACTTCTTAATATTGAAGAGCAACCTGTTGGAAGCCCAGAATTTGTACAATCTGACACATTGAAGAGCTGTGAGTGTATACTAATCTTGCAAAACGATAGAAAGAGAACTTTGTCTGTTTGTTAGTCCTCATGGAATATAATGTCTGCACCTCATACCCCACAGAAGTTTCTGTTGTTAATATAAATCATTGGTAGATTTAAATCTATTTCTTACATTCCAGTAATGCCCAAAGGAATTCAAAGATGAATGTGTTATCTTGCATAAACTAAAGCTTGATGTATGCAGTATCCTGTGTCAAAATGACATACTTAAGTTATTTTTAAAGAAAATCATAGGACTAAAACAATACAAAATACTGTATATCTATGTTAAGTGCATAGTATACATTCACAAGGTATACAAGGACGAAGTCAAATAACAGATCATATAGCCAGGCATTAGTTACTAGTAATTAATGTCAGGTGTAACAGTGGCCTAACACTTTGTGCAAGAGAGTATCAATAACAACCCCAGGCACTACATCTGTTACAGATGTCCAGCAGCAGGGTATAGTACATCTGTATACTGTATACCAAATCACAAGCCGAACCTATTACTAGAACAACTCTAAATAAATTGATAAGAACACATAATTCTGACCATTTTCATGCCATGGCTTATCAACACCATTCTGAGGACAGACAACTATGAACCCTTTTTGCCAATTTAATGGTTGCAAAACACAAAACCTGAGTTTAAGTTGCGTCTGTGCAATTGTGCACATACTTAAAGATGAAATATGAAATGGTGCATTTTTCTGAAAGGTATGTGTCTCTCAAGGGCAAAGTGCATAGTGCAGTTTTGTAGATGTGTACATTTGGCCACACAGCAGTTATCTTATTGTACACAATTTACATCACATGCAAAGGGCACATAATGACCCTTGGCAAAAAAATGCCCTGTTCACATTTGCATACAGGACAGAAAAAGTTTCAGTGTTTCCACCTTGTATAATTACTCTCTTGTTAATGTATTCATGTATACTAGTGAATCACAGCTGAACCAGGAATGTGTTTAGTTTGACAAGGTTATTTTTTACGAATGCTTTGAAATAATTTTATTTGTATATATCTGGAAAACAATTGCCTGCAGTCACAACCAGTCAAATGCATTATACAGTGCACATCCTATTAAAATATGTTCTCTTTTCACCCAATTAGTTCTTTGTGCAGAAAGATTTGTCTTCTAATATGTTTGCTTTCTTGTTAATAATGAACATATATTTGTATTTTGTTGTACCATGAGTATCCATTTTTTATGGTTATACAGTATAGAGAAGAAATTATGTTAATGAATGAGGAGCACCTGACAAAGAGTTAATAAGATTCAGTTATGTTACAGATTAACTGCTACAGCACTTCATATTGGTTGTTCATGCACAGTTTACCTTGAGATGTTGAAGTAAAGATCTCTAATCAATATTAAGTTTGCTAATTCATGAGCCTGGTTTCTTCTTAACCCAAACAAAGCTATGTTAATAACAGGCAAAATTGTGATTGGAGTACATCAAAACATGGTAGGATGCCTTTAGCGCGTTGGTGATGCTCCTGACATACATACAGTATATTTTACATCCTGAGTTGTCTGAGATGTCTAAGCTACAGAAGCTGCCATATCACTCTGCAACTCACAATTGGCAACCCTCTGACAGGAGACCTCCTTGGAAAGCTAAGATTGCTGCTGGAAGTGGTGCTAGTGGGACAGCAGGGGACGCTTACCTTGTGGTCTGTGTGGGTCCTAATGCCACAGTATAGCGACGGGGACACTATACTGTAAAAAGGAGCCGTCATTCAAATGAGATGTTAAACTTACCCCAGTGTCCTGGCCAAATTTCCATTGGCCTTTACCAATCATGGTCTCCTAATAATCCCCATCTATGAATTGGCTTCACCACTCTTTTCTCCTCCCCACTGATGTGTGGGGAGCATACTGGCACACTCTGGCTGCTGTCATATCATCCAGGTGGATGCTGCATATTGGTGGGGGTGGAGTGGAGCCCCCATTACCTGTAAAGCACTTTGAGTGGAGAGTCAACTTTTTCACAGCAGTGTTCGCAGAATTGCACCCAGATGAATGAGGAGTTATCTCACAGAATCATTCCAAGGGCCCTCTTGTAGCTAATCCAATAAAAGCACTGACTTGAACCACAGGGTCAAAACCTAACGATATGAGCCATAGCATTAGCCAGATGTGACCAGAATTCCCCAGGCAATGCTTTATAATTGATGTAGCATTGTCAGGGCTAAGAGATCATGTTTCAAAAGGGGTATCCTTGACTCGTTATGCAACAGATACTCCAGGGACTCACCTTACAGCTGCGAGCTTGTAACGATTTCAGTGTGAGATGCACTGCTTCTGCAATCAGGGCTAACACTCCAACTGCAGCTGTAAACCACTATATAGACTATACAGACTACACATTTCTCCCTTTATTCAAGCAGGTTAATTTCACTAGTGTATCAAATCAAGAGCAAGAGGAGAGCATCAAGCATGTCCTCCTTTGCTACAGATGGACCAGTAAAATAAGAAACAGTTAAGTTCCAGAAATGGTCCGAAAACCAAAACAAATTAAACGTAGGCAATGATGAACTATATCTGATGTATGACAAAATCAAATGTCAGTGTATTTTTGAACCCCCACAATAATGATACACTGTCTGAATTAGTTACAGCATTTCATGATTTACTCACTAACACTGAAATATTAATATACACCTAGCACCTAGACAAAGTTACTGTATATTTAATGGAGAGCATCATTTATAAATATATAGAGCATTGCTGCCCTCTAGTGACTTGCATGAGCCCCTTTTTGAATAATAGAAAGAGGCTTATAACTATTAATTTACTCCAATTAACTATTAAAAGCACAACTGCAGCTAAATAGATCCCCTATAAGTGACAGTTGTTAAGTTCGAAGTCACAGCATATTCACTGTGACAGTGCTGATTTTGCACTTTATACGAAAGAAAAAATTTAGGGACTGGACATCTTGCTCTACCTAAAACTAGTGAAGCAGCTTTAATGGGCTCAGAAATAAAGTGAAAAACTATCATCTGAGGCTGTTTTAGCCAAGCCTTACCAGTGATCTGAACAATTACTGTTCCTATGTCACTGAGAGCCACATAATTTGAATAATTCTAGTGTTTTAACTGTGACAAACAGATTATGTAAAAAAATACCAATTGTAAAAACTTTAACAACACAAATAGACCCATATGCATTCCCAATTGTCTAGGTATCATATGTTTCTTTTCAAAGTTCTAATACAAACTTGGGAACTGCTAAATTTTAGTTGTGTTTAATACCCGTTTTACTCTTTAATCGAATAAAAATAAAAAAAACACAGCATGAACTATTGACAAAATCAACTTATCGTATGTATTGTACCTTTATCGTATCGTATGACTTTACTTTGTTTAAAATATTTGGGTTTTTCTTGTGCTTCTGCCAGATCACCCATATCTGCTCTGTCAGACAACACTTTTAACATCGACAATTCAACATCCAGTATAAGCCTCAAGAGAACGTGCCAACATTACATATGTCTTGCACTGGGCAAACTGACATTCATCAGTGAATAAAAGACAGACTTTCTCAAAATGTCTGTGGCCCACAGAAGACGGCGCTTTAGTCTCTGAGCTTTCATTGTCGTTGAACTCCAAGCTTCTTCATGCAGACAAAAACTAGTCTTTCTGCTGAATATGCAGATTATTTCTCCTGGAACTTCTGGATCTGTAGCCGCTGAGGTTTGACAACGATTATGCAGACAGATGTGATGTGACTATCTTCCATTTCTTAAATTGTGGCAGTGTGCGACGGGGATGAAGAATTTTAAGATATTTGGTGGGTTTATGGAGACACCGAATCAAAGCTTGGAGGGACAAATCCACAGCAGCCAGTCACACCTAGACTGCAGGTCGACTGGGTATGGCAGATCAGAGCACCTGGAGAAAATCCACACATGTAGGGTTAAAGCCTAACACAGAGAGCACTTTAATGCAGAATAACCCTGTTGGTGTGCCCTCTACTTCACAAAACCAGTTCTCAGAGCAGTTTCTCTCTCACATAATTCACCTTCAATCATACTGATAGCAACTAGACACTCTTCATTACTTAAACAGGGCACCGTTTATTTTTTACTGCTCTTGCATTAATAAAAAAATAACGTCTTTTTATGATTTATACAAAATATGAATGCACCTCAATAAAGCAGAAAACAGACATGAGCGTTTTTTTCATTTAAAAAACATACAGGCAGCCGAAAGTTTATTTTAATTTGAAAAATCGCCTCGCCCTTGAGTTTTTCCAACAAAATGTTTCATTTTTTATGATTCTCGTTTGCAACTAAGCATTGCGTTAAGAATAAATTAAACAGCATCTGTCACATTATTTACTAATTTCATTCTAAAACAGGGTTTAAAATATAAATTTACAAAACTGAACAGTTTGAATCTATTTTTATAGTAGACTATAGTGTCATCAGTTTTAAAATTGATAAGGACAAGAAAACCACTTGGGTGCTGCTATACGGCTCCCATATGCGATCGCTATCCACAGATTTCTGCACTGAAAAAAAGCAGAAAATTGAAACTTGATTGCTGCTGCACTCGTGCTCGGATTTTCAACCAACCCTTAATCCCCGGTAGTTCCACCTTAGCGGCGTTTTGATTTGCTCCCAGTTCTTCGTATTCCTATGTAATTGGCCTTCACTCCTGTCAATCATACAGTTTCTCTCCCGGGCCTGCAAAAGGGTTAGGCGGCTCTTCCGGTTGGCTTTTCGAGCATGCTAGTCAGCGGCTGAAGGCATAGGGGCAGATGTAACTGTACTTTAGCTTTTGCTTTAAACACGTGAATAGCAAAGCATCGGTCAAGGAAAATCAAGTCAGATACTGTTAGTGTTTTATTTTTGAAGTAGTACAGTTTAAAATTTGAAATAAAAGTTATTTTTATTATATATTTTTTTTAAAAAATTGAACATGGCGGATATTGATAATGGTGGTGCGGAGAAGAGCTTGGACGATTTCTTTGCCAAGCGGGACAAAAAGAAGAAGAAAGAAAAAACTAAAGGGAAAGAGCAGGCGATAGCCCCAGGACCTATTAGTCTGAAAAAGAATAAAAAAGAGAAGGAGAAGTCTGCGAAAAATGAAAACCAAGACACCCAGCAGGAAAAGGTAAATGTATAACTGGAATATATGGGCCCAGTTGAAAGATGGAGTGGAGATGAAAATATTCTCTGCTAAATTATTTCGGGTTTAGTTTGCAGTACAATAGTCTCTATCCATACTTTCCAGAAGGTTTTCTCAGCCTTTTCAATCGGCCTTGTGTCGTCTGTTCGTGTAGTCAGCTGATGCAGCATATGCTGATATATTGATGCCGGACGACAGGCCACAAGTACACGACATAAAATTAAAAAAAAAAAACCGAAGGTGGATGTGGAAAACATATACCACTGACGAGCGAGATTCGTTTGCTTCCTTTGCTGAAATTGAGAAAATATCGCATTTACCAGATCGTAAATGTTCGTTCGCGTTTTGCACAGTTGTGTCAATGTCAAAAGTCAAACTGTCACAAGGGAAGGTATTTGCAATATCATTGTCAACTAGGTTACACGTATGTAGCTATTCATAGGCTGGACCCCGAGTTGTCGACCACGTTACGCTGGTCAGGTGGAGAGACATCTCTGCTGTGGCCCGGTGAACGTGTCTTCTGTCCTTCCAGCAACGAAGACGGGAAGGCCAGCAGAAATATTGGGTAAAGCCATTCATGGACGCCTTAGCACACACGAGCTGGCCGGGACGATATGGAGACCTGCTTCTGTGCGATGCTGGCTTTATCGGCTAGAGCAGTGGTACAGAATGGATGGCTGAACGAGAGAGGGTGCTTAGACAGGCCAATACATGTTCATGTACATTTTGGTACTGATCTCCTGCAACTCATTCCTTTGCTGCACAAAATGTCACAATTTTCCAGTTGATCTTAATTTTCCCTAATCACCTTGTGGTATAGACTTCTAATGTACAACAGGCATGTTCTATAAGTATTTTTTTTAAATACACTTCATAGATGGCAAAATTTATGAATGCACTCAGTTGGGGTGATGAAATTTGCTGAGGTGTCAAAAGAAACATGACAGCGAATGACAGTTTTCAGTTATTATTTCTTAGCGGTTGTACTAACATTTTATTGAACACTAGACGTGGGTAGATTAATTTTTCGGATTAACGTAGGTAACGTGGTTACATTGAAACTGCAGCTCTATTTTTATATTTTGAGGTTAGAAAGAATCAGCATTGATGAGTGCATTTCAAACCACAGTGATCGTTAAATACACAGTAATGTATAAAACGTCCAATTTACATCACAAAATAAAATTTACAGGTATGCACAGCGCCATATTCTGCAGTTCAAAATGAGGCAACAATTTCTGGTGAGATGAAGTGGCCTTATTACATTGTAAGCATGTAGGCTTGTGATTACATTTCTTTTAATCCAGTAGAAATATTGCTCTAAGCTTTGAGACAGTTTTGCCGACTCTGCATGTAGATCATGTTGGAACATTTCTGCAGTGAAATGGCTGCTGAACAACACATACAGTACCTATTCGCTTATAAGTCGCATTACATTAGTCATTACAGTGACTAGTGAGCAGGAAGGGCTGCCTCGCACACCTATTCAAACTCTTGACAACATGGCGAGCGTGCAGTTCTTCAGCAAAGTTTGCACTTTTGTGCTTAATGTGGAATTCATAAAATTTTGCTATACATTCAATTAATTTATTTTGTTACTGAGATTTAATAACTGGCCTGAGAAATTGGAACTGCAGTGCTCTTTTAATCAACAGATGGTCTGCATTGAAAGTCACAGATAGTAGCATGTTTGGCCATCGTAGGAAGCAATGCATATTGTACACGCAAGGCACATGGTTTCTGCCTGTTTGCAGTCTTCTGTCAGATTCCTCCTGTACAGACTGGACAGGAATGTGCCAACTCACTGGTCTCCGAGTCCTAGGTGCTACAGTCAGCCTAACCACAGGTCTTTGATGAGGCTCAGGTCTGGCAGTGAGGACATCCATGGTATCACTGTCGCATTCTCACTTTGGAAGAAAGCCGTTGTTTCATGTGGGTGTGTGTGGTCCTGCTGGGATGTTGTCTAAGCCTACAGGAAGGGCAGCTTGTGAAGTCCCAGGACACGGTGTAGTATCATGCAGTTGGGTTGCCGTTATTCACTATGAGCGAAGCTTTGCAGTGAGTAGACCCTCCCGCCAGATCAGTACACTAGGACTCCCACATCGTTTGGTCTTTTGTATGCTACAGTTAGTGTACCTTTCTGCTCGTCTGCTCACTCTCACTCTTGTCTGTCAGGGTGGTCTACACAAAGACCAAATTCATTTTCAGATAGGCTTGAATCTACATACTTTTTCATGCTTAGTATATGATGAGAGTGAATTGTGTATACTACGCCAAATGGAGCTATTTTCTTTTTGTATGAAAAATCAGATTCCCGAAAGTAGTTTCAACTGTGTTGAGAACATTACTGTCATTTTATATTGTCATCCTGACAGACAGTGTACCTTGTTGTTTTCTAATTCTTCAACTTACTAATTGCTTTTTATGAAACATAAGAGCATCACATTTTCTAGCAATGTTCTAGGCGTAGACCCATGCGTGCCTTAGTCTTCCATTGCAAGGCATCAAAAAATGATATAAAAGTTCTCTAAGGTGTTTTCTTACTGCCTAGTATTGCTTAGCATTGCCTGATCTCGTCTACTGTGTTTTTACGCCGGACTGAAGAAAGCAAGTTTTTATCCAGCTTCTGGTTTTCTTGCTAAAACTCACTTTGCCAAAGTATTAAGGCTGTTTGAAGTACATCAATCCAGCTTTGTAGGTGTGCTTGGCTTCATGTTTAATTCTCTGTATTCTCACTCTCCTGTTCCTTAAAGAAAGAATACAGAATACAATCACAATAATAGATGGAAACTTCAGAGTCCGTATTTTTATTTTAGGTAAGGATTTACGACCGTGGGTAAAAAAAGGGCTTGGAACTGGGTATTCCATAACCAGTGAAGACAAAGTGAACAGATCACTAGCTTAGATTTTAACATTAATTAACCAACACTTTCAGATTTTTGCAGAGCAGACTTTTAACAGTCTGATTGATATACATCGGGGTCATTTTGAGAGGAAACAATCTGGTATCTTTGTGTATAAAATTTGTCCACTTCAGATATTTGAAATTCCTTACTGGTGAGTACTCCACTCACCTCCCAGGATGTCATCATTCACTACCTGTTCAAATCAGAAAGCCCAGAACCTACAGTCATGCATGAAAGTTCGTGCATAATTTGAGATTTTATTTTTAGCCACAAAATGCATATTTAATCAGAATTTGTCCCTTCTTAATTGAAATAAAGTAACTTTTTTCACCAACTTGAGTGTTTTGAAAGAAAATGTCCATGCAGCAAAACAATACACACAGTATATAGAAATTGTACAGGTGCAAAAATAAGTGAACCCTTAGTTCTGTGACTTACATCAAAGTAAAGCAGGATCAGGTGGGTCAGAGACAAGAGTGCTAACCAATTAATCGAGA